TGCGGTTAGGGTGCTACTGCACGTGCGCACGTGCAGGGGGCGTTTCCAGATCTCGAGAACGGCTGGGCCGATTGCGCTCAAATTTGGTACACGGTTGGGGACCAGTTAGTAGGGTGCCGTGCAAAAGTCATTTTGGACCCCGTTTGCACGTGCGCACGTGCAGAATGCCGCTTCCAGATCTCAGGAACGGCTGGGCCGATTGCGTTCAAATTTGGCACACCGCTAGTAGTATTATCATGCGTTCTACTTAAGAATGATTCGGAAACTGGCGTGAAGTCTTTTGAGGACCATCGATGAATTTCGGTAAAAATGATTATGTAGTGGTTTGAAACATTTGCATTTTTTAGAATATTGTTGCTTGTCATGCAAAAATGTTGGGTGTATCTTGGACAAAATTGAATGCTCTTTCAAACGGTACCAGTTTCAATTGCGAAACATATCAGGTTATGCAGCAAAACCCGTGTAATTAAGAAAGCGGCACATCATCGACAAAAACCATTTTCTCCAGCGATTTATACCACCTTGATTTGGATCAATCAGCTTTTCACAATTTTCCCATGAGAGGCGGTACATGTCTCTTGCCAACAGGCGTTGTTTCAACTCGCTCTGTTTCACGGTCACCTAAAAATAAAATCAATTCCAAAATCCCCAAAAACCGCAATTTTTCAAATAAAAGTGCCCTCTCCGGTGCACGTGGCGCGTGCTATCCTCTGCATTGCACACCATTCAATAGCCCGTTCAATTCTGTACACGATGCTGTTTTCCCCGTGCCGGTCGGACCCCTGGTCACCAAGATATTGCACGGGAACTGGACCCGTGTCGGCCAAAATTAGCCGTTTTCGCCCGATTTTGCACGCCGATTTATACATGTAAAGTCTATGACGCGAATTTGCATTTTATGAGCACGCGCCACGCGCTCCCTATCAATCCGATCGAGCTGAGACCCCTCAAAGGCACGTCGCGCATCCTTGATCTATAAGTTGTGCAAATTTCACCGGGCTAGGTGCAACGGTCTGGCCTGTAGTCCACGCAAAGCAGCACCAAGTCGGGACCTCGGTAACGGACAGACGCACCCTCCTCAAATAGTAATATAGATTTTTATTATTATCATGACCACTGGTCAGCCTTTATGAGGTATTCCGCCTTAGAAGAAAATGAATGGAGGAATGAATTAAGATTCAGCGGATAATTAGAATAACCGAATGAGCATTCCCGCCAAAATACCAAGCACATATACTTGTTATGACATTTTTGGGTTTAACTTGAATTCCTATAGTTTTAATTTGAAATCCTAATATTTTTAGATGAAATTCCCTCGTTTGTATTTGTTGTCCTGCGGTTTTAATTTCAAGTCCTCTTGCTTTAATATGAAGTCCTATTTATTTTATTTGAAGTCCTTTTATTTTAACTTGATGGTAAAAAGGTGTAGTGCATATTGCTTACATCTGACACATCAAATGAAAGCAAGCAAGCTATTGTGTATATTGACATTGGCGTGCTCGAAAAGGCTTAGCACCTGTGCTACTTGAGACCATATCACAGCTATAACGGGGATGAAGAGGTTGAAAGGGTGATACACGGTGCACACCCACTTGCTCCATTGTGACTTAGCTTGACCCACGCATGCATCACCATGATGAGTCAGCGCTCTATCTAACTTCGCTCTATCTGGGCGGAACAGGCATCTTCACATACCTCGCCACGTGAGGGTGCGAGTGCCATCGTTGGGAGCCTCTTCAGATGCCTGTGCATACGTCAGCACCGACGTTCTTAGCTAACGATAGCCAGGCCGTCGCCGATACAGGATAGATAGTGCTGTCGGACGCCGGGCCGATAACGCACACTGACGCTCTCCCGGACCGCTGCGGGACCGCCGCGCCCGTCTCAGAACCTCGCGTGTGAGCGGTCCCGGGGACCCGCCCGCCAGGTCAGGGGTCAGGGGTCACCCGTGTGTGCCGACACTCGCCGGCCGTAGCGCTGAGGGACCGCCGCTGTCCACTGCGGCTGGTGCAGGTCAGGGTCGGAGGCGGATAGCTTTCCTCTGACCCCAGCCTAAACTACGGCAGCGCGGGAGATAAGCACCACCAATTCACTGTCTCAGCCCATGGTTGTAGCAGACGGCCACCTCCGCACTCACGGACGGGGAGACTGATACATTCCTAGCCATTGACTTGGACATTGAGGAATGTTGACTCTGTGGGTTGCAGTTCAAGGAACATGTAACGCGGACTTAGTGATGACACATAGCGAGATGGGTCTTCCCCCAGCTGCTACGGCGTAAACCGGTTCCTTTCAAAGCCCAATAGCGACTGGGGGAAATTGGTTCTTCAGTGTCTCCCAGTAGCCAAGAGCGAAGATGTCAGAATGACTTGCTGAACAGTTTTTGCTCTTGTGCGATAGCGCCTCTGTAAGTACACAAGCAACGACGTTGACGCGTCTGACGTCTTATTTGGACGTCCCGATTCCGCACGCCCAGGTAATCTGCGGTGACAGCAGCATTACTTTGTGTCGTTTAGGATCCTGCGCTATTACTTTATCCTGATACCTATTTCTTTCGATAGGCTCGTCCCATCTCGTCCATCCCGACCAGATCGATGATGATTTGGTGTTTTAGGGCACACCAGCAACGAGGCTATATGGCGCCCGACCATATCAATGCGAGGGTCAGGCGATACAAATTTCAAGCCACCACATCGTGGCTAGAGCTCCTCGCTAACATGCGTACGATATGGGTACGCCCTTTCCCTGTCCTCATTTTCATCATATCTCGTTCTGTTATCTCGTTCAACGTGCAGCCGTTCGGTTTGCCAATAGTGGTGTTATTCGCACTGCTTTTCAGCCAACCGTTGTGTGCCAAGGTTTGGTCGTCACTCCATTGCCAGTGCCGGCCAACGCCCCATCGCTTTATTTAAAAAAAAAATGTTTTATCTGTGCAGTATAGCATTGTTCCGACCGAGCCACGCATGTGAGGTGAGCAACGTTTGTTTCCTGCGAAACCTGAATTACATAACTAGGTTCCGTTTTATGTTTTATGTTCGTTTTGGGGTCTGCTGAATGACAGCGGAAGTCTGCACACTGCACAGTGACATTGACGGTCTGTTGGCTGGTAGTGGGAGGTACGGTTGACCGACAGTGAAGGTCTGTTGACTGAAGATCTGTTGACTGGCATAGGATGTTTGTTATGTGATAGTGAAGATCTGTTGGCTGACATTGACTTCGGAGGTTCGTTGGGTGACACTAGAGGCAGGTCTATTGACTGACTACTGCAATGGTGGTGTGGTTGTGTGCGTGCTGACTGCTGGTGTACGCTGACTGATAATTGCGGTTACAACATGCATGCTTTCCTCCACACCTGTTAACATCACCAGTCACGAAGCCTCAGTTATTCACAACTGCCATCGCACTGGAAAATCCTTGGACCGATGACACTGACTGGGCCGGTTCGACCTTGACTGTCACACTGACCTGATAGCTCCAACCACGCGACAGTCGCGGGGCCAGTCTGTCGCGGCTAGGAGCGAGGGGGACTGGTGGAGGTCACCCGTCCCCCCGACTGGGGGCCGGCTCTACCGTCGGCCCACTGCCGGGTGATGGCGACTGATGGGACGGGCCGAGCGGCCGCCGGCTGCTCGCTCGCCCGGTGAGTGGCTACCCCTCGACCCGGCCGCTATGCAGATTACCCATAGAATATGGAATCAGTTCTGCCGGCAGCCGGGAGCCGATCGGTGAATTGGCTTCGCCGGCACTGAGCGAGCTACCGTGGGCGGCTATATTGTGGGCTGTGGGCTGGTGGATTGACTGAGGATTGCTGATACGTAGAGCTAGCGGCCAGAATAAAGCACATTAGCGCAGTGCGGATTTCACAATTACGCAGTTAGATGCTTTAAACACATCGGAAGTACGACGTTGGGTGCTGTCATGCCCACTGCCTACCCTCCCCATGTTCAGTGCTCACTGGTGCGAGCAGGCTGGCAGAGTTTGCTGGGGCCTTGGAGCTTCCGCTGCTCGGACCTGTTACCAGAGTGGCCGTAAAGAACGTGCCCTGCCTGAACTGTCGACAGGCGACCGGTTCCGCTGACACATGGTCGCGCTGACGACTCGTTGTCTGGCCTGTGAACCCGTTTCTCGCTGTGGCTCGTTCTGAAATGGCCCAGCTCTTTGAGTAGTGATGCGCCTTATTTGACGGAATACCAATGGTCTGGGGCTGCCTGGCTAGACTGCGACATTGACGCGGCTCTGCCGGCTACCGGCCTCTATGGCAGAGGCCGGGACTGTGCCGAGGAGGTCTTTATCCATTTCCGATCGATCGAGATAAATCGAAATAGAGTCGAAATAGAACCTTCCAGGGACACTTTCGGGCGACGACCTGGCGTGTCTCCGTTCTGGCCGACCCAGTCGGCCATGTGACCCTTGTCTCCGTTGTGACTCATTGTTCCATTCTGCTCCGACCCGTGTCTCCGCCCTGCCTGGACCCGTGTCCTTGTTCTGCTCTGACTCGTGTCCCCGCCCTGCCCTGATTTGTGTTCCCGATCTGACCTGACCCACGTCTCCATTCTGCTCTGACCTGTCTCCGCCAAGCCCTGACCCGTGTCTCCGTTCTCCGACAAGTGACCGGTGTCTCGATTCTATTCTGACTTATGTCTCGGTTCTGCTCTGACCTGTATACCCGCCCTGTTCTGACCCGTGTATCCGTTCTGACCCGTGTCCCCATTCTGTTCTGATCCCTGTTTTGGTTCTGCTCTGACCCGCACACCCGCCCTGCTGACTGCTCTGACCCGTACACCCGCCCTGCTCTGACCCGTACACCCGCCCTGCTCTGACCCGTACACCCGCCCTGTTCTGACCCACCCGTACACCCGCCCTGCTCTGACCCACCCGTACACCCGCCCTGCTCCGACCTGTGTTTTGGTTCTGCTCTGATCCATTATACCCGCCCTGCTCCGTGTCTCCGCTGTCCTGACCCGTGTCTCGGCTCTGACCCGTGTCTCCCCCTGTCGCAGGTGTGTGTGTGACGCAGGTGGTCGCCGGTGGCAGGCGGCCGGTCGATTCTCCCCGCGCGCCGCTCATGAGGACGCGCCACATCTCGGCCGGCCAATCGATGCCGTGCGCCCGACGCCGGCTGGTCGGCGGCCCGGCCCCCTGAGCGCCCTCGCTCCACGCTCGCCGCGGCGCGGCCCATGTACTCGGCGGCGCTGGTGGTGCCGCGCGGCCGCGGCCGCCTCCTGCGCTACCTGGTCGGCTGCGTGGCCGCCCTGCTCTTCGTGCAGTGCTTCCTCAGCCTGCTGTCGGCGCGGCGCGCGCTACCCACATCGTTCTTCCAGTTCGACTCGTCAGCGGCTGTCTCACCGCGGCTGGTGCTCGGCCTCACCAACACCACGGCGCGGCCTCCCTCCACCGGCGGCGGCGGCGGGCCGCGCGACCCGCTGCTCGTCAAGGTCATGGTCGACCCGGGCAGCAAGGCACCGGCGCCTCCGGCGGCGGCCGTGACCGTCAACGGCACGGCCGCGAACGGGACGGCCGCGCTGGTGAACGTCACCGCGTCTAGTCAACGGCCGCCGCTGCCGACGGCGACGACCCCCGCCGGCACGAGCAGCCCGGCCGACGGCCGCCAGCGCTGCCCGCCGGTGCCGCTCAAACTCGGTAAGCGAGGAATCAGGTCCGCCGGATGGATCTTCGCTGCCTTGCTTCGGCATTATTTCATGATTTTTTTTCAATATCTTTGGTCAGACTTTGGAACATACTCCCGGTTTATTGCCAGTAAAACCAGATGGGCAGGATTACTTGCATGTTTGCGCAGTGAACACACATCGTGAGCAATGGTAGCTACAGCTAGGCTGACGGAGAGTTTATGAAGAATTTGCAATGAACTCAGGGTGACATAAAAAAAACACCATTACAGATTTGTGCTGGTGGTAGCTGATCGTCGATACCCAACAAAAAAGACAAATATCACTAAGAACCACCTGGCTCAGATGCCGAGCTTTGTTTTGTTACCTTTTCAGAGCCCACCTGTGGCTGCCGATGTGGTGTTGGCACCATCGCTCCGCATTCCACAGTCACACACATAGTGAGGTCACCGGACGGCCCATTATGTCGGGACAGTGAATGCTGAACGTGACACACTGATCCACCAACCAATTCACAGCCTTTCAGGCACGGACAATGCTGATTGCCGAGGCTGTCCCTTGTAGATGCTGACATGAATTAGGTCAACTGAACTAACTTGCATACTTGCTAAAACCATTGTATTCGTCGTGCATGCCTTTTTCTAATTTGGAATCAAAACAGCTACATTCTCTCCGCCTCTTCATTTTACCATTAAAATTTAAAAGTAAAACATCCTATCGCTCATTGACTTTCGGCGCCGACTGATCTACACTCTACAGTTGTGCAGTCGTATTTACTGTAGCATTGCAGATAGTCCTCTCACTCAGCGGCAATCCTTTCAGATCAGCCGATAACAGGGAAGGCTTTGTTTCAGTGATGACAGCAGATTAGTAGCCGTATCTGGCTATGACTAGAAGGATAAACTCAAGTGTCAAACATACTCGCCACCAGCTTGGGGTCATCGACACTTGACGATCTGAGACGGGAAACTGCTCGTAACTGTAATTGGTTTTGTCATCTTTGCTGTATTTTTTCTGTATGTAAGGCACAAGCTATCAGTCACTGCTCATTGATTGACTTCTTTCCTGTTCTTTTGTTTTTTTTTTCGTTACTACTTTGTAGTTCTTTATTTCCTTCTTTTTCCTTTCACCCACTTTCTGTTCTTTTTTAGCAGTTCGCGGATACTTTGTGAGCCATTATATTAAAGTGTTTGTTATGTTCCAAGCATTGCTAGCCAGTTGGCCAGAGTGGGGTAGAGGGAATTTCTTCGTTTTGTGAGTCATAAACGTTCAGCGCAATGAGGAGCGCCTAGACTGTTTCTGGGCCATTTTCCCCGTCAGCTCAGTTCATATCCCAAAAATATTGAGTGACTAACTCTTTGTTTTGGTATCATGTTTTGCCCTTCATAGTCCCAAGGGGCTCAACAAGTTATGCGTCGCAGCATTCATATGTTCCACAATCCACAACTCTTCTGCTGCAGCTGAATTTTGTTTGATGAAAGAATGTTTGAATGAACAAGCCTGCTTCGTATGGTTCCCGGGGGGCCTGACTACATCCACTCCTCACAGTCGGTTTTCGTCGGAGTGAGCCTGTATCAGAAGTTACTGAGACGCCGAAGATGGGAACACGATCCTGTGGGACTTTGCGATGTCCTATATCATCGTAGATTTCGTTGAGCACTTGCAGTAAGACATGCAATTGCAGAGCGTTAGGACGTAGATTGAGGCGTTACTCTCGATGCAGACGGCACATCATTGTCTTGGAGTTTGACACGCAGGTTTTTGAGTCTATTCTGATCTCCCGTTGCATCATATTTGTATAATTACCTATCCCAGCTAGGGTAAACTATTTAGAAGCGGATGAAAACGATAGTTCACGAATTACACGCGTTTCTTGTATACTCCGCTGGTATAAAAAAAAACAATTACTGTACGCGATTTTTAGTGTTTATTTTACGTGTCTTCCAAGAAAATTTAGAAGACGGGATGTGTCTAGCTTGCGGCACAGCCGCACAGTACTAACATGCGCGTATCATACGCGTATACATGCGAACATAGCACATGCATATACGAAAAATACATGCTGGGCTAAAATACAATGCCAACATAGGTACAGAGAACGGCATGCTTGCAGCATGCTAACGTGCTTAGGGTCAGACGCTGCTGTAATAACTCTTACAAACGTTGAAGTAATAATTCTTCCTAGACGTGCTTGTATTAGCTAATGTTCGTTGAAAGTGAAATAAGCACATTTTCTCGCATTGTAACAAAGTTCTCCTGTCGCCCAGTTGGTTCATTTCATTTATGACGTGCTCCGTTTATTAGTGCTAGCAAGCTAAAACTAGCCACGGTAGGATGAATGGACATGCATTTTTCCGCTATTACACCGAACCTATTCCCGCGATATTCCATTCCACATGCCCGTAGGCACCAACTTGGGTATCTCAGCACATGCATTGCGACTTTTTGCATAAAGTGTCCATAGTTCAACACGTTATACAAACTAATAAGAATTTTTTTCTACGACTGCCATCGTTGCAACTTGCAACACTTTTCTCTTTGATAATAAGGAGGAATAGAGAATGGTAAGCACTGCTACACTGGGCTCGAACAGGTTCCGAGTCGTGCTCAACAGTGCAGCGTTTTCTCTTCCGCACAGACCATAGGTGGATCGATGCCGCTTCTCTAACCAGTTGCATCGCAAACTTTTCCGTTGTGCCACGAGTCTCGGATTGTGTGTGTGTCTCAGTGTGAGATGTGCTACTGCTATTTTCTCGCGTCATATTTGTGTCTGACTGTACCAGTGTCCGACCGTACCGTTTGCTGGTGCCACAGTTGTAACTTGTAATCTGTATCCACAACTGTGACACAGTGGTATGTAGGCATGCACTGTGTGACCGTGCGACAGCACTGTGCTGTTCGTTACCCCAACCGTCCGACTAAGCCACAGTGGCATATTGCCCACCATCCGACCATGCTGCAGCTACATATTGTTTGACTACCGTGGTCGTGAGTTCACCTAAACCGTCCCATCACCGGACCGTCCCAGTCGTGTGTCATCCACCGTCTGACCATGCCGCCCCTCCGTGCTGCAGTCGGTGTGTTACCATCTGACCGTATACCACCTGTCTTACCTTCTGACCGTGCCGCCCCTCCGTGCTGCAGTCGGTGTGTTACCATCTGACCGTATACCGCCTGTTCTACCATCTGACCATACCACCTCTCCTGTTCCGCAGTCGGTCCGCTGGCGGTGCCCTCGTCGGCGCCCTCCTGGGACCAGATGGAGGCGGAGGAGCCGTTCCGGCGACTCACGGACGGGGGACGGTATCGGCCGGCGGAATGTGTCAGCCGCCATCGAGTGGCCATCATTGTGCCATATAGGTGAGAACGGTGTCCGTACGGCCGACTGTGTCAGTCGCCATCGAGTGGCCATCATTGTGCCATATAGGTGAGAATGTGTCAGTCGCCATCGAGTGGCCATCATTGTGCCATATAGGTGAGAACCGGTGACTGGTGTCAGCCGCCATCGAGTGGCCATCATTGTGCCATATAGGTGAGAACCGGTGACTGGTGTCAGCCGCCATCGAGTGGCCATCATTGTGCCATATAGGTGAGAACCGGTGACTGGTGTCAGCCGCCATCGAGTGGCCATCATTGTGCCATATAGGTGAGAACGGTGTCCGTACGGCCGACTGTGTCAGTCGCCATCGAGTGGCCATCATTGTGCCATATAGGCGAGAGGCTGTGTCCGTACGGCTGAGCCCTAAGGATGACCGTGTCGGGATACAAGTGTCACTTATGCAAAGTGCCAATTTTCAAAGGCACACTTTTGGTAACATTGGTGCCGGTGTGTAAGGTTGGCTGTAGGAACTCGTCTTTCGGGTCCCCCTTTCCAATAAGTGTCACTTAGCAGCAAAGGGGCTCTATATGGTACCGGTAACGGGGAAGGTTGGGGTCTCAGAGGGCGGAAAGCTCCGGTGCAGGTGTTTCGTGTTCCTCCAACTGTTTCTCTCATTTCAGTCAGTCTTATTCTCCACCAAATTCTACAAATAACCATCCTCCGCACTCAAATCTCTCTCTCTCTCTCTCTCTCTCTCTCTCTCTCTCTCTCTCTCTCTCTCTCTCTCTCTCTCTCTCTCTCTCTCTCTCTCTCTCTCTCTCTTCTCTCATTTCTTTTCTTCCTCTCCCTTTCTCCGTCCTTTCCCACTCTCCCCTCCCCACCGTCCTGTCCTCTCGACATCACGTGCCGTCGTTATGCTGACCCGTGGGAGCTGCACAGCTGGCCGGCGCTCCGTCCCTCCCCAATGTCTATTCTGTCTCTCTTCCGCCAGTGCGGACCACCGGGCCCCACGCTACCTAACGTCCTGACACGAACCAAACCAGCGCTGGGTCCAGAATAAAATATGAATCTTACAAGTGCCCATCGCCGCACTTCTGGTAGCCCTGCCTAAAATGCGACCTCGTAACAGCGTTTGAACCCACACTAGCGCCCTTTCCCTCACCAGCAGCCGACCCACCCTACAAAATTATCGGGTCCCTCGCTAGCGCTCTGATCCCCACAATAGCGCCCAGCCCCACACCAGTGCCTGCCGCTCAGCCCGCATCAGCGCTCGGCCCCATACCAGCGCCCGGCCAGGGGGTACGCGCTGTACGCTGATAGCGAGTTTCCCTCGCCCAGCGGCCGCCCTGTTTATCGCCGATTTTTTTTTGTGCTCGCCTCATGATACGAGCGTCCGGCGGGCACCGTGGACAGGCGGCGCACACATGGTAACATGGGCGACTGTAATTCCGACCGTGTTTGCTCCCAGATAGGCCGGCGACGGCGACCTGACCTGCGCGTGCTTTGACAATCGTCTCATGCTGATACAAGCTTTCCTCTGTTCGCAGGGATCGGGAAGAGCACTTACGAATGTTTCTGTACCACATGCATCCGGTGTTACAGCGTCAACAGCTAGATTACGGCATTTTTATCGTGGAACAGGATGGTGAGTGACGCGATTGTTGAACGCCTTTTGGCCTCATGGACGTCTTCCCGTCAGTTATGCTTATTGTTCATGACCACTATGACTGTCTCGACAATGAAGACTGCATCGTATTTCCGTCCACACTGGAACTAAACGAAGGAGCGAGTGACTGTGAAAGTGCTCTTTAGTCAGAGTGATAGCCAGTCTTGCTTGCTTTTGCGGTGTGGTACCTAATATAGATAGTTTGTAGCCATTCTGCGCGGTATTTGCAAGTTACCTAGCTCGGTATTCTTGTTCAATAGTCGGTTTCACTGTCCACATCTTGACCATCTGTGCCTTCTTACAGCCAGCTAGCTCGCTTTGACGTAGTTGACTGCAGATGGTCAATGAGCGCGTTCAGGTACCGATTTTTCAGCCTCATTTGACCACCCCGACCGGACGACCGGCCGCAACACTGGCGGATTGGTCGTCATGTGTCTTTCTACGCACATGCGTGCATGTCATGATGCGGTGTGCACACTGCACAGCCTGGCTTTTTACCTCCGTGCACATCTGAGTGATGCCACTAGCCTCGAATGACGTCACTGCCACTTGCTTTAAGTGATGAGACCATCGGCATCGTCTCCGAGTGATATCACTGACCTCTGAAGTCATTGATTCTGAATGACTTCATGTCCGCCGCCGCCGCCTCGACCACTGCCAGGATGCTGAGTGTCACGAGCCCACTGGGGCGAGCACTACCTAGTGCTTTATTCCCACTCTAAATTCACAGCCGGACTGTCAGGAAGAGAACGCCTCCATCCGTGAACCGGCTTTCGACACCGTTTGTAAGGTTTACCCACACATCCTGACACATCACGTACAGAACTGATCGAACACACAGGTGCTGTGACGGCTGTGTCTGTGTGTGCCTAGTGCCGGATGCAGCCACTCAGTCCTGGATTAGTGTTGTACCGGGCTGATCGGATATCAGACACTTGTCTGTGCCGTGCCGGAATTCAATCAGTATCCTTCCCGAAATATGAACGACACGTATCGGACCACAATAGTGAAGTATTCACCGAACACTTTGTTGGGACTTCAGAACTGCCGTTATTAAGTATTCTGCCGTTACCCTCGCTGCTGGACGGATCACCTTCGTATGTGGCTGATAAGTTGTTACTGATAAGTAATGCTTAGACCCTGTATGTGACCGTGCTCTCTGCCCTTGCCGTCAGGATCTGATATGTTTAACCGGGCCTCGCTGCTCGCCAGACCTCTCAGGACTCTCGCAATGTGTGACCGCTCTCTGCCCGTGCCGGCAGGATCTGTGACGCAATGTGTGACCGCTCTCTGCCCGTGCCGGCAGGATCTGATATGTTTAACCGGGCTTCGCTGCTCAATGCCGGTGCCATGGAGGCCATCAAGCAGTACGACTTCCAATGTTTTGTCTTCCACGACGTGGATCTTTTGATGGAGGACGACCGCAACCTTTACACGTGCCCGCAGCAGCCGCGCCACATGTCCGTCGCCGTCGACTCCATGCAGTACAAGTTAGTATCGCCGCCGCTAGATGGGAGCACCGCAGCCGTACTTTGCTAGGCTTCGTAGTTTTTTCTTAGCAGTGTATTTGGTTGGGTAAGGCAGAATGGTTTACTGCAGCTGACGTCCGAAGTATAAACGTTATATAGTCAGACTAACATTGCATACGCTCGGTTTCTGTATGAGCAAACCCATACACCAGTTAGTCTGGATCACTTTTTACAATGTAAGTCACATTGCTTAGAGATTTTGCTCCACGGACTCAGCCCCGGTGACTCACTAGGGTGTCTGCCCAGACCAATGTCTCTCCTAATTCCTACCATCCTTCCGGCTCTGATGTGGTCTTGTCAGACCGAAAGGGCATAACCCAACAAAACAAACGGGAAGCTTTCCGTCGTGACAAGCGGTCAATGGCTGTTATTCGCATGCATAATTCTTACATTTGGTTATTCGTGCCTAGTCTGTTCTTCATTGAGATCGGTGTAACCGCTATTGACCCCCGTAGGATTCTGCTACAGCTGCCAGGTTTTCTGCCTACCCTTATTTCTGCCGGTGATCCTATGTGCTCCGGCCTCAGACCCTCGTGTGTTGCCCCCGCTGACCCCATATGCTCCGCCCATTAATCCCGATGTGTTCCTCCCGGCAGACTGGCGTATCCTCAGCTGTTTGGCGGCGTGTCAGCGATGACCCGCTCTCAGTTCGAGCTGGTGAACGGCTTCAGCAACCAGTACTGGGGCTGGGGCGGCGAGGACGACGACATGTACAACCGGCTGACGTACCACAAGCTGCACATCGCCCGCTACCCGGCCAACATCGCCAGATACAAGATGGTCAAACACAAACACGGAAAGGTTAACCCCAAACGGTGAGCTACATCTCAAACTCCTGAATGCTTTTTAGTCTGTTGGAAGTGGACGCCTGGGAAACAGGTCGACAAATTATAAGTTTCAGAGGGCGCTAGACAGATGCATTGAGCTGAGTGTTTATGGGTCTGTAATTTCCGCGGATCTCAGAAAATTTTTAAGTTAAGATCGTCCCGTTGGAATCTTGTGGGTAATATGTTTGGGATCTACTTCATCTAATATAATCTGGTTATAAACCAAAACATAATTGAACCATTTTAAATTTCAACATATTTCATTATAAAAAACTCTGTCTCAGCAAAACAAATCAATCTCCGTGGGAAAAGGCCCCAGGTCCGATTTCTCAGATCCATTGCACAAGTCTGGTAGGTGCCATTGACGGTTGCCGGTAGTGGTCGCTAGTAGTGGTCGTTGGTAGTGGTCGACCGTTGGCAGTGACTGTTGGTAGTGGTCGTTGGTAGTGGTCGCTAGTAGTGGCGACACTGGACACTGGGCGGTCTGGACTCCATGTGTCTGCGCTGAGGCCGGCGGTCGGGGGACTGTTTACACGTCTGAAAAAGGAGGTCAATAGTACCTTATCTGAGGCCGGGGAGGGGCACCATGACTCCCCTGAGAGGCTGGGCCGGGCCAGGCACTGGTATCGGCAGGGGGCTGTGCATAAACGACTCCGACGTCCTAAACGGCCGTAGCAGCTGGGTATGACGATCGGCCGAGTCCAACCGTCGGTAACAGCTGGGTCTGACGGTCGTAACAGGCGAGTTAACTGTCGTAACAGCTGCGTCTGACGGTCGTACTAGTCGAGCTGGTGGATGTCTGTGGTGCACAACGCCGCTGGCATTTCCTATCATTTTCCTTCTCATTCACCTTCTTTCTTGCCCTTGTTAACTTGTTGCGTGGAAACAGTGGCGAATACACGAGTTTTCTGGTTGGATTGCGCCAGTCATCTCTGGCTAGCGATGGGTACCTGGTTGACTGTGAGCCGTACGGTATCTCTAGGTATATAACGGTACGGTATCTATAGGTACGTATAACGGCACGAAAGCTATAGGTACCCTGAACCCTAAACCCTAAAGTTATTATTAAGTCGTCCCTGATAGTTCCTCTCGTATTCCAGTCCGTCCTCCTCCTCTCTCCTGACTGAATTCCCAATGGTCGCCCATGTAAACCAACCGCTTCTCTTTGTCGCCACTGCTATAAATCAATCATTGACCACCGTTCCTATCCAACAGCTACTCCTGCATACCAGCTGCTCCTGACTGCCTATCCCGTGTGTCAAATGTTCCTGTTCAACGGCCATTCCTGTGTAACTACCTACTTCCTTTCTGAGGTGAGGATCTATTTTCTGACTATCCTGTTTTCTTTGCTGAACTCTTAGCTTCGACTTGACATATTTTATGTATTGCGGCTCACCTGTTTTCTACATACGGTCACTTGACTCAGTGGATTGACAATGATCAATTAATGCGTCAGCCCCGTGTGTAAATATTCACTTTCGTCACTTACGAGTTATCACATGTATTTCGTTTGCCAGAATCGATGTCAGCCGTTCCGAATCTCCCCATGACGTGTTTGTATCTGTCCCAGGTTCGACCTGTTGCGGCGAGGCAAGAAGCGCTTCACCACGGACGGCCTGTCGTCGCTCAAGTACCAAGTCAAAGACATAGTGCTGGATAAACTATACACCCGACTGTTGATATCACTGGGCCGCCGGTGACGGAGCGCGGTGCCGAGCGGTCGCCCCTAGTCAAACGCCGGCGGTCGGCGGTTTTAGGCGGATCGCGGGTGCCGCGGCGCGCAGACACTCGCGACAGTGATACGCGCGTCCGGCCGAGCGCGCTTCCTCTCTGTGGCTGTTGTACCGATGTGGACGGTGGGCAGTCGGTGCCGCCCGCGCCGACACGAGATTATCGTCCGTTTTATGCCGGATGACGATCGGTACTGGTTCGTCGTATATAGAACTTTATGGGTGTGTGCCGGTGTGGACGTGTGTGCCTGTTTATGTGTGGAATGGAAATACACATGTGCAATGTTTACCGTGAATGGGCTTTGTGGTGTGTGCTGTGCTGAGAGTTGTTTGTCTCGTCAGAGGGAAGTGGGTTGATGTAGGCACATTACGACTGTAGCGTATCAGGACGTCAGAATTTGATGTGTACCAGAATCTTTGCGTATGGACGTCAGTTTCTGGGAGGTACCGGAACGCATTTTATATGGCGATGCAGGGTCTGATCCGGGAAGATTGTTTTGAAGGAGTGTTTTAACTTCAAAGAACTTCCGAACTGTTTTACCACATGTAATCCTGTTTTGTATGTCATCCTGTTCCGAGCTGTTTTACTTATTTTTCATCTTTTCATGCGGACTTAACGGTCCTCGCGGGCAGATAAAAGACGGGTGATCCAGTTCAGAGACCTCGCAGACCGCCATGGACCTTGTGACCGATGACCGTTTATCTGCTGGCCACATTGATGAAAAGACCCTCTCTAGCCCTTTGTGCATTACTCAGCTGTGGATTTGAGCTTTGAAACCCAATGCGCCTTCAGATCAGGCCGCTGTCGGAACGAAGCTCGCCATCGAGTCCGGTGACTTGCAGCCGTCACAAAACGCCGCTGCGCAGTGACCAGGCAGACCACAACTGCGGCGAACTGATCCGTGCTCAATAATACGATACGCATTGGTTTGAAAGATGTTTCCAGATAATCGATAAATATTTACTTAAACACAGCATATGCTACCCAACCTGTTTTGTATCGATTGCTGCTACGTTTCCCTTCGATGTGCGCTTATAAGCCCGTTTTGAGGGCAGCCGTACCAATATCAGTGTGTATTCCGGTAATAATAACTGGCTGGTATGATGCGAACAAATTCGTTAGCCTGTTTACGCACTTTTGGGAGTGAAATGCGTATTCCGATTTCGGGTCTAGGGAATGCGTAAAGCTGAACGTCAAAATTATGTGATTGCGCGTGCTAAGGGAAGTGTTGCCTGGACTATCAAGTGTTGGAAGTTTTCGCCAGTGTCTGATATGTTGGAATGCGACGACGACGCCATCCATCATCTTTTTATAACATCGTCTTTAGCACTATTCTCTTCCTGTCCCCAGCACTTTTTTGCCCTTCATATTTACCGCTTGAGGAGGTGCGACATTTCTCTCCAAGCAAACAATTTTTTGTCCCATCTAAACTCGGCACACGACTGACGTGCCTGACACAATCCATGCGCCGGTACGTAAATATGGGCGTGGCCAAAGTCAGGGGGTGCTCTCACTATCCAGCGTTTTCGTCAGATGTAGCGATCGAGCGTCAGATCGGCGGCCACCGGCCCGGGTCTCGACTGGTGAGCGATATCGGCAGTGTTTATAGTGTGTGCGGCCGCTGCCCTCGATACTGACCGGCGGCGGCAGCGGCGGGCCCGCGACGACGGTCAGTCGACGGCCGGAGGCGGCACAAGAAGGTGGCCCGGAGGCGACACAGGAAGGCGGCAACCATGTCGGTCCAGTCGGCCATGTTCCAGAGGCTCTTCCAGCGGCGGCACAGGTCAGACTCTGCTCCCCCACTCACTTGATACCGTGCCTGGTGCGTCCCTGCGCGATTGCACTGTGCACAAGCTATCGTTCCGCGGATTTTTTCTCCTGAACCAATCTGCCAAAGATGACTTGTACCCATACCTTACAATGATAGGACTCGCGCACGAGTTATGGAGCAGTGACCGGTGACCCCTTCCCACGTGGTTGACCTCATGCAAGCGACAGACCACAGACCTGTCCGATCTTCGGTAGAACCTGTGGCCACAGGTCACTTTACTCTCCCGATAGAACCTGTACAGGTCATACGCCACTGACTGGCCGCCCTGTTCCATCGGCAGATCCCATGCAGGTCACAGGTCACTGACCGGTTACTCTCTCCCACTCTAACAGGACCGTCAGCGGAATGCACGACTACAACATCGAGTACGTGCCCTACAGCCGCGACCGGCTGGACGAGATCATCGAGCTGATGCTGGACACATTCTTCACCCGCGAGCCACTGGTATGTAACCATCGAGGCTTACCTTGGTCTTGGTCTTGGTCGTGGGTTAGGGCGCATAGCCTCATCGGGCTCAGAGCGTCCGTAGATGTCTTGTTGCCACTTTCATGTCTTCAGAGTTGGTAGGTAAGACAATGGAGTACTAAGCGTGGTAGTGGAACGGAAAGACAACAGCGTACCGGATAGAACCAGGATATAGTATTGAGGAATATTTCCAGGTAGGACAGTAGTTAATGTTAGTAGCGAACTATAAAATGGTTATGAACTTAGAGATAAAGAACTGAAAATGAAAGTAACATAAACGACCGGTATCTTTTATGCCTGGCTTTTTTCAACAGTCAAAATAACACTCCATATACATTAATTTGCCATTGATAAACACCCTGGTAACAATAGGTACGCTTGTCTCCTCGTTAAAGTAGGAGGATGTCGTTCATCACCATAACCATCATAACATGTATCGATACACTGTGGTCGCAGACCAGTTGTTCAGGCCGTGTACGTAGGAATGCTTTGGCCGTAGTGTTTCCCTAAGCGCGCTGCGTGGATCCATGGATAGAGAGACCAGCTGGTTAGGTTCGTCCAAACTAATTAGTTTCTAAACTACGTGATCAACTACGCTCGATACTGTCTTAAGTGCCACCACCGTCGATTGTCCTGTCAGTCAAGAAGTGTACATTCATTCACGATCAGTCATACTTCCACGCACCACTTCCACATAACACAGACCACAGTACTGGTGGGACATAGCACACGGAGACAGATGCAAAACAAAGGACATAGAACATTCATATTACATCTAGCGTGTTACATGTAAATAGAGGCACTATCATGCACACAGGCTTTTGACTCCAGCATTAAAAAAAGAAAAGAAAAAAAAGAAACACGCGTCGGGTATACATACGCTATCGCACGTGAGTCGCACGTAGTCTGGCTCGGGCCTTGGTCTGGCTCTATTGTTTCTTAATTCACTGTTTACAGGCGTTTCATAAGATCACACGCTCGCAAGAAGATCATCACTTCGTTCAATATCTCAGGAAAGTCGTCACATAGCAGCGATTTCAGACACAGCTGAACCGCATGTCTCTGACACAGTTGCTGCAATGGTTGTCTCTCGATGGCGTACATTGGACAATCGATGAGAAAGTGCTGTACAGAAAGCAGGCAGAGACATCTTTCACACAGTGGTCTAGGCTCTCGATCAATGATATAAGAATGGGTGTACCGAGTATGGCCCAGTCTCAGACGACATAATGTAACCTCTTCTCTTCTACTGGGTCGGCTACTGCTAGACCAGTGTTCCACACGCTCCTTGATAGCTTTCAGAGTAGTGCCAGCAGGGTGATCAGCCCAGAACCGACCAAACATATCTCTGATCGTAGAGCGGATTGCAGGATAAAACTCTCGCATCCCAAGCAGTGGTGTAGTTATATCATTCAGGCTCATGGCTACCTTCGCCTGTATATCAGCCGTCTCGTTTCCTGTTATACCAGTGTGACCAGGTATCCATAACAGGATAATCAAGAAACCAGTATCAAGAAGAGTGTGGACATGGTCCAAAATCTCGGTAATAACAGGGTTAGCTGAGGGAGGGTTTCCAATGGCCATCGTCACGGACAAGGAGTCAGTACAAATCACCCATTTCTTGTCACGCTCAGTTTCAATGTAGCACAGTGCTTTTAGAATGGCAGTCGCCTCTGCTGTGAAGATGGAACACTGTACAGGTAGTCGGTACTTCCCATAGCGATCACCATGAATATAAGCACATCCTACACCATTTGGGCCCTTTGCACCATCAGTAAAAATGAAGGCATAGTCAGCATAAGAATGTCTCAATTCATGGAAATCACACTGGACTTTTAGATTGTCGAGGCAACTTTTACGTTCATCAGTAAGTCTTAGTATCTCGCATCTCTGTAAACGCCAAGGCGGTATATGGCTCTCTCTCAGTGCAATTGCAGCAGGAAATACATATCCACTTTCGTCTACCATCTGGAGCATACGTTCATACAATGGAAATCCCGATATTCGTTTCATATATGCCGCCTCCACGTGGTGCAAAGCTGCATGTCTCAATATAAGATGTCTACACGGGTGAGTATCTCGGCTTTTAACTTTAAGACAAAATCTCAGAGTTAGTTCGCATCGCCGAAGTCTCAGTGGAAGAACATCAGTCTCAACCAGCAGTGGTAAGATCGGTGATGTACGGAGAGCTCCGGTTGCTATCCTAAGGCACTGATTTTGTATGGAGTCAAGTGATTCTACCACCTTGTTCTGAGGTCCATCTAGAATCTGGCAGGCATAATCAAGAATAGGTCGTATCATGGATTTATACATGCGTATCAATACACTCCGGTCCGCCCCACAGCTTCGTCCGGCCAAGCATTTTAAGACAGATATCCGTTTAGTAGCTTTACCCTAAAGGAAAAGGGCCACCTTTAACATGGGGATTGAAACTGAGATAGCCATCTTGTAGCCCGTGTCCGAAAACCTCTCTGTCTACCCCCTTACGGCCGATTTCGGCCTCCATTCGTAGTTATCGGCAATTTTAAAAGAAAATATGCCAGGAATGCGTTCTTATCCCAGGAATGCGTTCTTATCCGACAATACAGCCACCCGCGGCGAGGCTTTGGTTTTTAACCAATCAGCTTGCAGCAGTACTGATCAGGCACGGATCCCTGTACTAGCGAGCAGACCACGAGCAGTTGCGTTATTTTTCGTTGTCTGTTCTGGCAATCGGCCGGCGGATGAACATCCGCAATCGAATCTTGAAATCCGTCGCGCTGATTGGTGATGAGTTTCATGAGCTACTTTCATGAGGTCTATGAAAGTAAACCTATGCTATGCCCTGAACAGATGACATCTCGTTTGGTAGCCAATTGCTAAAATGCATTTTTATCTTACGCAAGGCAGTATACCTTGCAGTATACCATATTTTATACCGTGGCTCTGATCCGAAATCAGGGCATTTTTGTTCGAACAAATACCTATAATAACGATGAAGAAGTGCGTGATCCGCGGAGCAAACTTCCTACGTCGGGTCGGGACTGATATGCGTGTGACTGTGCACAAGTAAGTACCTAGGTACCTAGGTAGGTACCTAAATTCTTATTTATTGCAATGGCTCTTCTATTACTTTTGTTTTCACAGAACTCTCCCCTGGATTAGCAAACCCTTTTGAACCGTTCAGGCTTTCACAACTGAAATGCCAGACTGGATAAAAAAACGCAAGTTATGCCGAATATGCCATGCGAAGTGGCGTGATTGCGGCGTTGCCCCGAAAATTTCATCGCACATCCAGCATAATTTTGCATGCGTCAAATTCAGCGCATGGTGGCAGCTGAATTTTTAGGCGCAGGGTGACCGCATGGCGCATAATGTTTATGCAAATGGCTGTCACCGAATTTTTTGACACGCTGTGGTCAATCTAGCAGCAGACTTGCCCTGCGGGCGCTGGCAGGTCTGAAGAGAGTCGAAACTTCCGGCCTGGGCCTTGTTTCACCTTAAGATTCTACAGTGTGCCACACAAATTGTGGTATTGGGTTTTCATGGGAACATTAACTAATTCAGACGCTCAGAAAGGGAAGAGCGTCTGACTCCGAGGCCCCGGAACGATCTGTGTGGTTGATATAGCCTTGGTCGGTAGATATGCACATGTGCTTTATGTAAAAGTGGCTTAATTTTGGTGCAAACAGGCACCCAACTTTCAGTGGAAATCATGCACTGGAATTTCAGCTCAAAATTGCTTGCTTCAAATTTTGGCGCATGAGGGGCTCACGGGCATCCGGCATGTGTATGGATGTTTTCCAGTCTGGCTGAAAGGCAGAACTCAGACACATTTATCCAGCCCTTCAAATCCCATTTCCTGGTTGTGGTAACACCTACCTTTCCATGGGGGTTTGGTTCATCTCTTGTCTACACAGTTTTCTTTCACTTATGTGCTGACAAGAAAAGGAAACTCACCAGAGCCCAGTTTCACCAAGTGCGGTAAACTCAATTTGGGGTAAACTACCAAACTACCCCACTACTTAACTACAAAAACTACCCCAAAATTAAGTGTACCGCACTTGGTGAAACTGGGCTCAGTGGAGCTATTCAGCTTAATACACAGAGTATGTGTTGCATGGACTAAGCATGTGTTGACCCTTTTTTACTTTTAGGTTCCCGCTAAAAAAAGAAGTACAGAGAAAAGTGGATGAGGGTGTGTGGCATGACCAATGAGCCAAGACCACATGACCACTTAAACTTAACAAGAAGTGCGCACCATGATAAGCACAGTCAAAAACGTTTGCGTCTAAAGAACAGTGCTGTGCCGGATCAGAATGTAAGTTATTTTTTAAAAGTGATAAAAATGCCTGCAAAGTTATCAAAAGACTTTGAATATTGTTTTTGTAACACTTCACTCTAAAGTTATTCCTAGTACCAGACATTACAGCTTTAGTGCAGAGTCTTTATTTGTGATATTTTTAGCCAAAAATTATTACTAGTACCGAGCCCTTACAGCTTTACAGCCCTAGTACCTTGCCCTTATTTTTTTATATTTTTTAGCCATTTCAACCTAACCGAATATCTGTATGTTTGTATGTTATTGTTTTGATCTGTATTTTATGCTACCTCCCTATAGGTAAGTTTTATTAAAACATGTGGTAACGGTGTGCTGATTTTTTACAGATTCCGTAATCCGTATACGCCTTGGGTTGCTGTCGCTGCTCGGTCACCCACAGATGAAAGTGATCAAGAAATGGACATCACTCAGGTAAGATTCAAGCGTCCTTTATTTTACACATAATACAGTAAGCAGTAGCACTCTAACCGCAACATATGGGAATGCATTGCCTGGTGGGTGCCTACTGCCTACCTGTATGCCAAGTTTCAGCTAAATCGCCCCAGTAATTACAGAGTTATTGAAATGGGAACAAATTCGGCACCTCTTCTTTTTGCATTTTGCACGTGCAGTGGGGGTCACTCACATAGATCAAGAGCATCCGACCTTTGGTTGAAGG